TGCAGCCAGGTCTTAGTACTGCCTATTAGTCTATTGTTCTGCCCTAGGCCACCAGGCTTTGGTTAGGTGCACCCTTCCAGGGCTGGTCTTGACCTGTGCTCAAATATCCAAAAAAATTAAAAAAGGAACAAAACCCCCCAAAACCTGACTGCTGGGATCAGGCTCATGTGCAAATCACACCACAATGAAATCAATTAATCCAATCGCTGCTCTGCACAGGCCTGCCTGGCTTACTTGTGAACATTCACAGTTGCAATGGGATCTCTCCCATGCACAGCAAGGCTCTAACCTGAGACAGCAGTTCTTCTGTCCTCTTCCCCGGATCCTAAGCTGCCACTCTGCTCCAGAGATTATCAAAAGCCATGTGTGTCCTCTACCTCAGATCCTCAGCTGTCACTCTGCTCTGGAGATTATCAAAAGCTGTGTGTGTGCAGGCCTCTGCCTGCCTCCGTTTTCAGGGTCAGTTTCTCTGGCCAGTTTTGCAACCCTTGCCTGCTGGGACACTCAGCTGCTCCTCCCTCTGTGGCTTGCAGGGAATTGACCCCTCTGCCCCTCTCCAGGGCCGGAAATACTTCTGAGCAGTCTCCCTCCTCCAATCCAGAGCAAGATGCTGCTCTGGAAGTGTGGTGATTGTTTCTCTTCCCTTCCCGTCTCCAGCTGCAGCCCTGCCGGCCCTTCATGCTATAAGTGTTGGTTGTTTTCACTTTCCCTGTCTGTTGCTGCCGGCTGTTTTTCTTCTCCTGCCCTCCCTTGCTCATCATGTGTGGCACCTCGGGGTTTTTGTTTGCTTTTTCTTGCCCTTTCATATATCCCCCCCGGCTTAAGATGCCGTCAGGCACTCTTCTTTGTTCATAAGGGGAACTTTCTTCCTGGACTGTCACCTGCTCTCCTGGCATTCACTGTGTTTCGAGGGACTCCCTTGAGTGGCAACCAGAGAGAAAAATCAGCCACCACATTTTCTTTACCTGGTCAATATTCGACCATAAACTAAAATGGATGCAAAGCCATGTTATATGGGCATTGTCTGTCTTGGTGGATTTTAGCCATTTTAGTGGTGCACGATCTGTTATAACTATGAATTCCTGCCCCAACAGGTAGTACCGAAAATATTCCACACCCCACTTTACTGGTAAACACTCCCTTTCTACTGTGGCATACCTTCTTTCATGGTCGTTTAATCTCCTACTGGTGTAGGCTATCAGTCTTTCCACTCCCTCAATCCTTTGGGAAAGCATGGCCCCTAATGCTTGTCCTGATGCTTCTACCTGAAGGATGAAGGGCAGTGCAAAATTCAGTGCGTGTAGTATAACATCCTTACATAAGGCCTGCTTAACCACCTCGGAGGCTCGTTGTTGTCTCTCCGTCCAATGTATAGGGCCATTCCCCTTACCCTTGATCATGTTAGTGAGTGGGACTGCTAACTCTGCAAAATTAGGAATAAATCTTCGATAGTAACCTGCTAAACCTAGAAACGGTCTCATCTGTTTCTTGGTTTGAGGGACCTGGTAACTTTTAATTAACTCAACCTTATCCACTAATGGTTTGATCTGTCCTTGCCCCATGCAGAAACCCTAATAATCTGTCTCACGCTGTCCTAATGCACATTTCCTAGGGTTAACCCTCAATCCCAACTGTTTCAACTTCTGCAAAACTGCCTGGACAGATGTTAGGTGCTGCCCTCAGGTCTTGGTATATACAACTATATCATCAATATATGGAGCCATATATTCATGATGAGGGGCTAGTAACCAGTCCAGCAGCCTTTGAAATGTTGCAGCTGCACCATTTAGGCCAAAGGGCACTCTACAGAACTCAAAGTCCCCATGGTGTTCCGAATGCTGTTTTAGCCTGATCTTCTGGCTTTACTGAAATCTGCCAATATCTCTTGGCTAGATCAAAGGTGGAGATAAATTCCAGCTGCCGTATTCTTTCTAGCAACTCCCCAACCCATGGCATGGGAAATGCATTGAACTGGGTGATGGCATTAAGTTTACGATAATCTATGCACAAGCAGTGTGCCCCATCTTTTTTGGGGACGGTCACTATGGGGCTTCTCCATGGACTTCTGGAGGTCTTAATTATTCCCTGTTGGAGCATCTTCCCTATCTCATCCTTTACTGCCTGACAATGGTGGTGTGGTATTGGTCTCCATCCTTCCCGCACAATAGTCCCTTCTGGTGTTTTAATTCCATGCACTGCATCCCTTGTTCTTCCTGGAATTTCACTGAACACATAGGCAAATTTCTCTAGTACCTGGTTCAGCTGTCTTAGTTGCCTCTCTGTCAAACTACATCCTGTAACTATTGCCCCCAAGTTGAACCTGTCTGTTCCCACATCTCCTAACTCTCTTCCAAACTTCTCTTTCTCTAGGATAGGAGTAGCCAACAGGCCCTCAAGTTCCTGCCACAACTTCAACAGGTTAACATGAAATATCTGCCTGCCCCTCTGATGCCCCGGCCGTGATACTTCATTGTCTACCAGACCAATCTGGCATATGATCTGAAATGGCCCTTGCCAGCAAGTCAGAAATTTACTAGTTGAATTGGATAACAGGACCAATACTCTCTGCCCAACCTGAAACTCTCTTTCTTTGGCTCCTCGATCATACTGCTGTATCTGGTTTATATGGGCCTCTCTCAGCTGATCACTCACCAACTGATTCATAAGTCATTCTCTCAGAGTTGTCACATATTGGGAAGGGATTGTTCCTTCATCTCCCTCCTTTTTGGTAATCTCTGACTCCCAGACAGCTCAGAACGCAGGTTCCTCCTGTTGAGCTTCCCGGAATTGTGCCCTGCCAGCGAACATACTTATATGCCATAGATCAGCATCCTCCATATCTGATCCTTCTGCATTTTCCTGGCCTACCAGCCCTTCCCTAGGGCCATTCGCTCCTGTCCCTTTGCTAACAATTGATGCATCTCTGGCCAATCTTGGCCTAAAATCATAGGGTACAACAAGTCATCAGCTACCCCTACTGGACATTCCTGAGTGACCCCTCTTACTGTGAGCTGTACTTTCATCCTTGGGTATGTGCAGCCTTGTCCATACATATCTATGGGTGTCAGCCTTGCTCCTTCATTCAAGGGTACTAACCCTTTTTGGACCAAGGTTTGATCACATCCTGTATAGACATTCGGCTTCCCAGGAGAAACTCCTGGGAGTAATTTAACCCTGGTTGTTCTCAAGTTATTTTACTCCTGGGAACAGCTATTTTTACTCTGGGAGGAAAAGCCTGAACATCTGTACATTTGTGGTTTCTCTTGGGAGAGCAACAACTCTCCCAGGAGAAACTGAATGTCCATCTGAGGCCATATTCTTCCAGTGTTTCCTCCCTTCCTACCAGAGAGACAATGTGTCCCTTGCAGGACTTCGCTGCTCTAGTAGAGAACAGAACATGCCCCCTTCACAATTACCACCCTGGTCTGAGGGAAACACAGGCTGACCATGGGTGGTCTGGGTCAGCCAGTCAGAGCTGCCCTATGCACTGCTGTCACCTGTTGGAACGCAGACTAAGAAAGCCTGCAAAACATGATGACCTGTCCCCCCAGCCCCCCAAGCTAAATAGTGTTAGCACTGCAAGCTCTTCACACGTCAGAGCCTCAGTACTTGAAAGTCTGTACACATGGCTCTGGGTAAATTTCTCTAGATTATCTTTCTTCTAGATTACCTGAATGTGTGTATGCAGTCATTGATGCACTTGCAGTGCACCCTGTGACTGCAGGTGGCATCCTGCCATGTCTGTGTGACTTCAACCTAACTACGCCTCTTCATTATTATTGTAACAGCACTTCCAAGCTTCCCGGTTCTTTGGCATCTGTCACGCAGGAGGTCAGACTAGGTGATAAGACTGCTCCCTTCTGGGCTTACTGACACTGAATCTTGTAAACTCTGCTCTAGCACAGAAAAGCAACTCCTTCAATACTCCTTTTTTGCCATGGTTGAGCCCAGTGCTTTACTTGTCTAAAGTTCTCATGATTTCAAACCAGGTATTAAAAAAATATGTAAAATCAGTTTCCTTAAGTATATACAAAAGTCACCACGAGAGATAGTGAGCCCCATTTTCATAGAAGGAAGAAAAAGCAGGCACCATTAGAGTTTAGTTATGAGGTTCCTGTCTAGATGGCACATTTAATTTACATGAGACAGTAATGAGCTGTGGCGACATAGCCTGTCACTATGGTGACAAAGTGTCAGTGGGCATGAACTGTGATGCTGATGCTACTGTGCAGTAGCAATGAGCTACTCATTGCTACTGTGTAGTAGGGTCAGAAACAAACCATGTGCTGCTGGGACTGTGCCGCAGCGGCAGTTACTGTGTAGTCAGGCACATGGTGTAGATGCGTCTAGGGAGTAGTAAAATAACACACATACATAGATCTCCCTCCAAATTAAAATATATAAAAATAAATTGACACAACAACTGCTAGAGACTCTCATTAAAATACTCAGTCAAATAAGGAATGATTATTTATTTTAGTGAATCTTGGAGTGATGCTACATCAATGCAAAGGAATTATTTGAAAGGACTCCCTGACATGCAGATATACTTTGGTTTGCAAATTTAAGAGTTTCTTAACTTTCACTCCAGATCTCTGCCATTCTATTTTTGGCTGCAGGGGTTTCTGCATTTGTCTTCTGAACCAATATTATTTGCACTACATGACTTTAAACCTGTTGTAATATTGCTGTCACTAAGAAAGATACATTGTGGGATATCATGTAATAGTCTTATAAAGAACATCTTATTTATTTTGGAAGATATCACTTGTCTGGTTTCAATTCTTAAGTTTTCTGTTGGTTCTGCTTCTGCCCGGAAAGCTTGAAAATAAACAGTAAGGCATACAGTCAAAAGCAAAAGTACTGCTCAACCATCCTTCTTGCTCATTTCTAAAGAAGAAAAGCAATCATTAGTTTGTCCATGATAAGAAAAAAAGATGGCATGACCTTAGAAACCTCACCCCAGCTTGCATTTCCCCTTTTATTTGTTGTACAAAATAGAGACAGTGTTTTGTCAGTGTTTCATTTGGTAAAAATGAAAGCTTCCTAGCAATATGGGCCTCATGACTCAGTTTACATTAAAGAAATATTTTATGAGTGTAATATTATATTATCTTTAATAACTCCAACAGGTACCCAAATGTAAGCATGACCCAAATACTATTTCTGGCTTGTGTGTATTGCCAGCCACTCTATCAACGGCCTTTGTATTCCTGACTCATCTCTCTCATTCAGTTCGTCATTTCTTCACTGGCTAACAAAGAGTCACTGGATCATATTAAACCCTGGAATAAGTGTGTGCAACTCTCACGGATGCCAGTGAGAGTTGTGCCCACTTACCCCATGTATAAACTTGCCCCATTGTATCTGGGACCAGTTACTGTAGGAGCTGACATCCAGCCAGCAGCTACAGCAGGTGGCACAGATGTGGACTTTTTGCTTTTAAAGTTGCAAGAATATGCCTATATTCTATTGCATGTGCAGTGTTGGGAAAGTCCCCTGTTTTGCTAATCACTCTGCACCACATGCACCCAAGGAAAAAATGTTTACCTGGTATGGCCACGGTTAACCTTTTTTCCTTGCTGAGACGGTGCCCATGGATGAATTCACTCATGGAAGGGGGGCCCCTCAGAAGAAATGATTCTGTGGAGGCGGGATGAGGGGGGACTCTTAATAAATGCTGTAGGTAGGTCCCTGAAGTCCTGGGATGACTCTGATCACAAAGGGAAGGTGAGAATAGTCTTGCAGGAGATCCAAGAAAAATACATATGGAAACAAAAGAGTTTTACTTTAATTACCTTTAAATGTCTTACGAATGATATCATTATGTTAATTTGTATCACAGGTAAAACACCAACTTGTGTTGCCACCCCCTGTTATTTCCACAACAGGATGCAAATCCTATGTTGGAAATTTTTGTTCACCTTAGTTTACAAACAGATGTTGCATTTGTCCTAGGAAAAGCCATTTTATCCCAGGACAAAGTGCAGTCATTCAAATATCCACGTCCACTGTTCTGAGATAAATCTTGAAAATGTTCATGGGACAAGATGTAATAACAATTTATCCCAGGACATTGCCAAGTGTGTCTGAACCATTATCACAGGATTGCATCTTTGAATCAACAGCAGAAAAACGGTAGTGCATTCAGCCACCCAGTAATCCCACATGCCAATCCCAGATCTGGAACAAACATAGGCACAACCTGTCCAGCAACAAATACAACATCTGTTCCTAGCCTTACAGGAGGAGACAAGATTTAGTTATTGCCCACCCTCTTTCCCACCTTTTTATGTTTAGCATTTATTAGGATCCCTGATGGTTTTCCCTAAATCTTTTGCATTGCGACCAAGAAGTACCAGAAAAAGGGAATAAACATCCAGGACTTCTTGAACAAGGAGTCCTTTTCAACATCAGAAGCATCAACATCTCCATAACTACACAGCATTAGCAAGACAGTCACAAGACAAGATGAGAATTCACTGGTTGAACAATGAAGTGTTATGAATGGTAGCCATCCCCTTTGACCAAGTCACTAGTTTATAATGCAGAGAAATCTGTCTGAGTGAACACATCCATATCCTTTTCCCCACTTATGAGAGACAGACAAGCACCATGGCTTATCAAAAAGCTACTATTTTTGTTTTAAAAGTGTATTGAAAAGCTCACAGAACACAGTGTCTTTCCTTTATTTCAGAAGGCTGTTTTACTGTGTGCAAAACCTTAACTCATTTAAAAAAATACAATCACACTAATAAAAGACATAAGAATGTACTGGGACACCAACAGACAATAGTCTGAAACTATATTAAAAAGGAGGAGATAACATTATGGGTAGGTGGAACCAAAAAACACTTAGCCAAGCTTTGAATTCTGACCAGTCACTAGTTGCATCTTCCCCATCACCTTTTTCCCAAACAAAACACAAATTATAATATTAATAATAATAATATTGTTTACAATTCAGTGAACGACTTTTAACTAAAGTCTGGCCACTGCACTGTATCATAAAGATCACTGCATGCATACCTTTTCCTCTGAGTGCCACTGCTGACCAGTAAGTTTGGTTGCTGTGGGCCCTGACTATGCAGGAGGAAAGTGTCTATGGTTGGCACGGTGGCTGATGCCTCCTCACTTACTTTAGGGCTGCCGATCTTGCTCTTTCCAAGCTTGCCTTTGCTGCGTCGGGACTGCTCATGATCGAACTCTAAATCCTCCAGTCTCTGGGTTAGGGCGAGTTTTTGCTGGATAGCCATCCGCAACAGAGAATTTAGGGTCTTCTTCTCATCCTCAGCAGCTGCCAGCTGCCTTTGCATCTCATCCAACTGTGTGACATACTCATCACATCTGAAGAAACAAAAGAGGGAGATACCTGGAGATACATTCTAAAATCAAGCACAGCCAAGGTGGGCCTGAACCAACAGCCCAAATCTAAACCAGAAAGAGATCTGGGACCAGCTCAAGGTTCCAACTCAAGCGAATTTTTAGCACTGGCCTAATCTCAATCTTGCTGATTCCTACCTGGAGAAAGTTTGGAACCAGAGCTCAATTGCAAACTTTTACAATCAACAGAAATATCTGGATGTAAAATATGGGTGCAGCCATTACCCTCCTATTTCATTTCTGATCCAGATCATGAGATCAATTTTAAGGTTGTGTTCTTAGATGATCAGTAATTCAAATACAATTGTGTTGTGGGCCACTGAATTGATAATTTACTTGTAGTGGAGCAGGCCATAAACAATAAATTCTACTGAAAGCTAAGTATTACACAATAGTATGACAAGAGCTGGAACATTTCCATTCCATACTTAATGTTTCCTAATTTGTTACATAAGACACTAACAATTACTTGCCAGTGGTCACTGGTCAAAGGCAGGAAAGCAAAGTCTGGATAATGCATTATGTTAACTAACTGCACAGAGATATCCTAACATATCTGTTCTCCTTGGAATCTAGTAACCTTTATTCCACGGCCTATTTGTGTATACCCCTTAGAAAGGGAGTTATGGTGACTATCTTGGGCTTTGGGGTGTAAACAATGAAATGTCTGAGTGTAGCCATCTTTTGCCTGGTCACCAACCTATCAATATCCTTTCAATCCAGGTAACTAGCTCACATTACACAACATATCAAAGAAATGAATCCCTCAACATTTTGAGTTTCCTACATCATGTTTCTCTCTGTTCCACTTCTTTAGGAACCTTGACCCAAGTTGCATCTCACATTTGATCACTGGCAGATCTTGAGGTACAGCTACTTTCTTCAGAGGAGTCCATTAATGTTTATCAAGAGCTTTGAAAATGAAGGTATTTTACTTGGTTGAACTTTAAACAGGGATTTCTGAAGCTAATGAAGGGGGAGGAGAAGACATTATATCCTCATATTAGTAAATGACTGAAATAAAACAGCTGTACTACATTAAAAGTGGAGCCTCTTATCTAATCAGATCATTTACTCACTGCAGTAAAATTACACTAAAAATCACACTGCTCTACAAGTAACTTGTTTGTGATAGCACTGTGCATTGGTAGCAGCATCAAATGTTTCCTACACAGTATTTTTTTAGTTCTTAAATATGCAACCACCAAGTTGGACATTTTATTCATAAACTTATTTGAACATGCAACAAAATAAGCACGATGTATTTACACAAGGCAACCCTACCTAAAAGGCCAAATCTTGTTCTGTCAGCCACATAAATCTATGCTGATATATATAGAGTTAATGTGGATTAACACTAGTGTAGATTAAATTTTTATTTTCCATACTACTATCAACAGAAAAAAATGGAGGATTTGACATTTGTATTTTCCCTTCTCAAGATTCATGACTCACATTTAAGCTCTGAATTCCTGCTAACTGAAATATTAAACAGTAATATTTTCATTCTAGGGTGATTTTAACAAGCATGACTTTGTAAGCCCTGGGGAAAGGAGATATTATGAAAATATTCTGTTCAATATCTTCATTAGTGACCTGGACGAGGGTGTGGAGAGCACCCTGTTCAAGTTTGCTGATGACACCAAGCTGTGCGGTAAAGTGAATACACCGGCAGGCAGGGACCACATCCAGGCAGACCTGGATAGGTTAGAGAAGTGGGTGGACCTGAACAGGATGTGGTTCAACAAGGACAAGTGCAGGGTGCTGCACCTGGGGAGAGGGAACCAGCATTATGGTTATA